AATTTTAGTGAGCAGCTAATGAAAAAAAATTAATCTCTAAATGGCCGTCCACAGCCTTTCTGCTTCCTCACCACATAGGCGACTTATTTATTTACTTTTATTTTTCACGTTTTTTACTCTTAATTTTATTATTAACTCCTCGACAGAAGGAAGTATAGGCGTTAAGATTTTTTAATTTTAATAAACCGCAACCAATTAGGTACTGCGCGCACGCGTTGTACATTTTTAAAATACACAGCTACACATATTTATTCATGCATACATATGTACATATATGTATGTACATGCATTTGTATTCACGCATATATGTATGTACATATTTTTATTATTTCACTTGATATAATTTTACTCTTGCCGTTTTCGAAATTTTAGCAATGCTAATTGAGTTGTTTTTTGTGTATACGCATAAAAATATCAATAATGAATGTATATATATATATATGTATGTATGTATAATATTAAGTTATGTACAATATTTGAAATACATTCGTGCAATATAAATTAGCCCAATACAATGAACTCGTCAATTTTGAAGTGTTCCGTTTTTATTGGTGTCAGGAACCGTACAGAAGGTCTGCTGCGACCACGAACTGTCCGTTGACACTAATATTTTTCAAAATTATTCAATGCGTAGTACAATTCAAGTGCGTTCAAATGCTCTAAAATTTGGATAAATGAAAAGTAGTAGTGAGAGGAAGTTAAGTTAGTTTGGTGGAGATTTTGAAAATAAAGAGATAAATAAATAATAAATTTCAGAACCCATTGAAAGGCGATTCTTCGAACAATAGAAACAGCTAGGAGCTCTAAAGAATCTCGGAAAATTATTCGGTCAATCTTTGCGCTAGTAAAATTTCACTTAATTCCAATCATTTCTTTTTTTTTTGTTCAAACAAAACGCAAAGAACCAAGGGTCAACGTTTTCAGGTTGCTTTCTGGTTTATTGTACAGTTTTCCAATTGTTAAATACATAGACGTGATGTAAGCAGACTATTTTGACATAATTATATTTATGTTCTTCCAACAAATGGATGGACTTACAATTTATACTAAGCCGCCTCCGAACGGCTGATGGTTTTTTATGAGGAGCTTTTGATTTTCATGTCAGAAATACACTCGGAGGTCTTTACATTTCCTGCCGAGGGGCGACCACAATTAGAAAAATCGATTACCTATATTTTTGGATATTGATCGAACCCTAGTCTTCAGAATGGCAGCACCTCACTAACCTCACAGCTCTTGCGGACGCCTAATTAAGAACTTATAATTGATAAATCTATAAAAAAAATTAGAACGAATCTTTAAGAACCACAACATTTGGCTCTATGCATAAAATATGAACATTGAAAATAATAATTGCAAATAAATAAAACGACTTGCGTTGTCTACTAACCGCTTCATAGTGACTAATATTATTTTAGTGGAAGAGCGCTACTAGCTGCGGAGACTGTTGAGTAATTTATCGACTTGCCTGCACGACAAACAGTTGACAGTTACAAAAGCGATAAAGTAAATAAATTTAGAGTCATCAAAAATTTCCAATATTTACATACATAACCATGCACATATATACATGCAGTGTAGTACGTTCACTTTTATTTGCTTTACTACAATATTTGCATTCGAAAATATTTCATATTGGATTTTTTTAAATGTTTAGCACCTTTATGAATTGTACTAGCAAAAAAATAAAAATAAATAACAAAAAAATACAAAATTAAATAAAAAATTTGTAAACTATTTTGAGACACGCCTTCGACGTTTGTTTAAATATTAAATAAGAAAAAAAACAGTATTAGAGTATTTCCCAAAGCGTGGTTTTCCCCATGACTGTTTGGTGCTTAAAAAGACAATTTTTAGAATGTTGAAAACAAATTTACGTGAACGGAATGTGACAATTTGAAAAAAAAGTAAAAAAAAAAATTACATTTATATGTATGTAATATTATTTCAATCTAAAATGGCAAACACAAAAAATTAATGCGCTCTAACTCTTTTTCGTGACGTCATAACCAAAAGGGAATCAAGCAAGCTGCGCGCAAAAAAATCGACCGCTTTTATTTTTATTTCTTATGATTTTTTTTTATTTTTTAAAAACTTTTCTTTTAATTTTGCATATTTTAATATTTATTAATATTTTTCGTGCGATTTATTTCTTTTAATTTACTCTATATTCTTTAATTTTATTTTTTTTATTTATTTATTATTTTTTTTTTTATTTTTTAATTTTTATTTCTATTTTATTGTATTTTATTTTATATTCATATTCTCTTTTTGCCATCTTTTTCATTATTTACGCGTAAATACCCCTTTACGGCAAACATAATAATTTGGCTTAACCGCAAGCAAAAATTTACGGTAGCCGCGTTCAAATCGCACAAGCAACAAAAACACAGACAAAAAGGTGCATAAAGCCTACATACATATATATATATATATATTTTTTAATTTTTTTAATTTTCTTAATTTAACAACAGACAATTTAAAGGACAGACAGACAGATTCAAACCAATCATAAATTTCTGATTTAAAAGCGTTGATAAAAAGTGAAGAAAAATTGCAGCTGTTCGAAAGATCGAGGCAGCAAGAATAATAATAAACAGTAAAAAAGGAAAAATATGTAAAAACAAATAAAAAAAAGTAGGGCCCAAAACAAAAGCTGGCATCCCAAACCGACTTGTGTTGAACGCATGCGCAGCACGCGCTTAAGTATGCTCCTAAAAAAGGAAAAGGAAACGAACACAATATCAAAAAAAAAAACAAAAAAAAAAGCCAAAAATGCTAATGAGTCGAAAAAAGGTTCAAGTATATAATGAAGATCAGAAAAAATGTGCGCATTTTTGTATGTGCGGAATAAAGCACTAGGGGTTATACCTTTAATATAACACGATTTATGAGGGTCTAGATTTCACTTAAAGCTTTGTTATATAAGAATATATATTTTCAATTTTTTTTTTTTGAAATTTCTATACCCATTGTTTTGCCACTGACGAATTCCACAAACGAAAATCCCAAAACAATCGTAAATATGAAAAAAAAAAACCATTATTAATCTGAAAGAAATTTCAAAACAAATGACTACTCTCCAGCGGAAAAAAAATTCAAAACAATTATCACAAGAGCATAACAGCCATCAGAGATGAAGCTGCACGATTTCATTAGACAGTCGAGCAACACCACAGTCGACTGAGGTAGCTAACCGGGCAGCCTGGAGGTGTAAGTTAAGTATGCGGTTGGGATTTTTTTCATGAATTTTTTTCGACTCAACCCATTAAAGTGATGAGCACAAAAAAATTGGGCAAAAGGAACAGGTAAAAAAATGAGTCTAAAGGAATTTGGTATTATTAAATACCTCAAATTAAACCAAAAAAAACTGTAAAGATCAACATTCATTGTAGGAACTGATTGCTTTGACCTTAGAAAAATGAAGGGTGCATTCGAAATATTGTTTTGCCGATGTTAAAATCCTGTTAATTTTTGGAGAAAAAAATGTTTGTGAATTTCTCAAAGGAAAAAAAAAAAAAATGTTTGCAGCAAGAAATTGAATTCGCAAATTAAAAGCAAAACAAAAAACGCAATCAAGGACATTATCATTTGATGAAATGAAGACAAATGAGTTTGTATTTTTTTGGTAATTTGTTCATTCGAAACAACGATTGTGCAATATTTCAACTCCTCATTCTATTTTATTTATGAAAAAAAAATTAAAAATCGAATACAGCAAGCTATGTAAGTTATTTTGAATCTATGGGTTTTATGCTTATGCTGTGAAGCTTCTGTGTATGCAGTTACAGTGACGGAGCTATACTCAACGATAGATCGAAAACTCACAACCGCCGCTGCGCAGTAAAGAACTCCCGTGGAAGACAAGGAAGGTTCAAAGTCGAAAAACTGCAATCACAACAGGCCAGGCCAGACCAGTGACGCCACTCATTATCAACTCTATATAAGACTTCTGTGGAGCGGCATCTCACAATCCTTACTACCACGGAAAAATTCCACCAATCAATGACGAATGGTTAAGAATAATCTAGCTTTGAAAGAATTCGATGAATTAACCGCCGGTGGAAGCAGAGGAAGAGGCGGACCTCCAGTCCGTTAAAAAGACTAGGTATAGATCTTGGCTACACTTGGTATTTTCAGTTGTTGCTAAATCGCTAAAAAAAAAGGAATAAGTGACGCGCTGTTGCTGAATAGGCTATATTGTCGTATGCCAGTAAAGACGTAGACGAAATAGTCTGGATAAGAAGAAGAAATCAACTTACTCTTTGAGTGCGTCACTTTACGGTAAGACTTTCTCAATATGTGCGTCTTGTTTGTTTGGAAGGAAGAAGAAGGGTTTAATGATCGCTTCTACAAACTTTAACCATTTACAGATCTGCGCGTCTCGTACTCAAACTCACTCACTACATAAGTACTCGTAGTCGTTAAAACTCTCCAATTAGATGCCCTGGATCACAGGCACCAGTCTAAACAATTTTCAAAAAATAATAAATAAATTATGAAAAAACCGCGATGGTCAAGCGCAAATAAAAACACACCAGGTAATCTTTGTAAAATAAAAACAAAAATTACAAATTTCAATGTAAATTACAAAGCACGACGGAAATGTCGTCATCATCATAATATCCCTCTCAATATCTTTTAAAAATTTAAAATATTACAACATAAACATACATAAATTTGTTAACATTTTTCACACTTTTTAAGTTTGTTATCTTCAATACTTAATAATTCTTATCAAAGCGGCTTTCAATGGTAAGTATTTTGTGTCAAAAGCCACTCCTTTTCTACAATAACAGAAACCTTGTCACAAAGTGGACTCAGCTGTATTTGTGTGTGTACGCTTATACGTCGAATATGTAAATATGCAATAGTCAAGTAAATAAATATTATGTACTGTATGTACATAAAAAAATATTGTTAGCACATTTGCTAACAAATTTACAGTATCTACATTTTAAATGAAATCGAATTAAATAAAACAAAATAAGCCGACTTGCGTGAAGCGCACAAAAAGCCTAGTGACAGGTGCAGGCGGAGTTTAGTCGTTGATTAGTGAGCGTTAAGAAAGGCAGCGTGAAAAACTGCATGCAACAATTGAAACTAAAGTGAGTGAGTGGAAAGTTTTGGAATCTTCCAGTTTATGAATATAAAGGAATACAAAGGATACACATAGTGAAGAAACAACGGCAAACAAGGACAACAAGCGAGCAATGCACAAATGAAATTATAATTATTACTGATTATTAGTGCTTAAAAAATAACAAAAACACAAAAAAAAATACTAAAAAGAATTTTGACACTTTAAAGGTACATACATATACACATATAATCTTCTAATATGTGTTTGTTTGATGACGAATTAACGTCAATCGACATATTATCTATAAATTAAAATTTAACATAAAATAAAGTTAAGCAAAATAATTAAATTAAATAAATAAAAAAAGCAATAAAAATAAAATATTAAATTAAATTAAATAAAACAAACCAACCAAAATTAAATTATGTTACAAAAATTAAATAGAATAAAAAAGAAACGAATAGAATAGAATAAATTAAAGAGAAATACACTAAAGTAAATAAAATAAAGCATATTAAAATAAAATATCGGGTGTACGCATTAGTTCGTGCGGTTTTCTTTCGAAAATTAAGACTTAATTGTGAAAAAATTATTTTAATCGTGTTGGAACGGTTGCTTGATCAACTCCTGATACTTTTGCAAGTATTCCTAGTAAAATAAATAAAAAAGTAAAATCGAAAAAAATTAAAAGAAATAAATAATTTAAAATAATATAAATTGATCTAAAATAGAATAATATAAAATTTAATTAAATTTAATTAAATAAATTAAAAAATTAAATATAATAAAAAAGAAAAGAAAAGAGAATAAAAAATTATAAAATAAAAACTAAAATATAGTTAAGATAATAAAATAAAATCAAACAAAATAACAGCATAAAATAAAATAAATCCAAATGAAATTAAATAATTAATAATAAAGTAAATAATAATTGAATTAAAAAAAATTTAAAAAAATTAATAAAACGAAAATAAAAAAATTAAATAAATTTGATATAATAAAATTACAAATACAGTAAATCAAATAATTTGAACTGTGCTCAAAAAAAGGAATGCTGATGCAATCTGTTATTAATGAAAAAAAACTGACCTTACAAAACTCAATTTGCTGACAGTATAAAATAATTTAATATTCAATCTAAAATAATAAAATTTTATCATTCAAATTTTAAGTACTGAATATAATTTATTGCAGTTACATCTGTGAAGCAAATCTCGTTTTAGACAGTGTGTAGCTAAACACAAAAACAAGAAAATTGCAAGCAAAAAGTGAAGCTTAAGCCTAACAGTGTAACAAATCAAAATCGAGCTAAAAAGTGGGATTTATTTACAGGTAAGTGTCAAACAATATATATATATATATATATATATATATATATATATATATATGTAATAACATATATTATTATAAATTAAAGATAATATAAATAAATATGCAACATATTTTTGTTTATTCGATTTGGAAAAGTATATCTTTTGTTATATTTGTTTGAAAAAATAGACGCAAAGCTCGGTCGAGAATCGCTTCAGCGGCTACAAAGCATAAATTATATATATATATATATATATATAGTACATATATATAAATATATATATTATGCAAATTCTTTGGCGAAAAATTAATATATATATTTTTTTCAGAAATTTGTTTAATATTTATTTTTTGTAAGAGATGTGTTAAATTAAAAAAAAAAACTAGTTGAACCGGATATTTTGAATTAAGAGCAAAATATACGAAAATATATAAATATTTAGCTACGAGTAACGAGCTATGTAGAAGTTTGGGCTACGAGCCTAAAAATTATTCATTATGGGTTCCAGTCTTAGTCAAGCCTTAATTCAAGAACGAAATCTCTAGAGATATTCCCTCGACAGGGAATACTTCAAAGTGTATTTGTGATACTAAAATACTCGCTCGATATGTAATTAATTTGAAAATGTTATAGAAATGCAGAGAGACTCGAAAAAGCAAATTTTGTTTAAAAAAAGAACGCTTTTCAAGTTAAAATTAAAAAATTTAAAAAAAAGTTTCGTAAATATGTATGCTTGGTGTGTACTTCTTAAATACAATAAAAATCGAAAAATTACATTGTAAAAGATATTGTAAAATTTTTTATAGCTGAATGGAATATTTTAAAATTAAAATAAATGAAAAACAAGTACTTTTAAACACGACAAGATTTTACAAAAATTAGGGAAATGGAAAGACAAGTTTAATAAGGATACAAATAAACGATGAAATACATTTAATTAAGTTACAACTGACAATACCAGTTTCAGAAGCTTTAATGAATTACAGCATTAGCATATTCAAATCCTTGCTGTTAAGCAAGAAAATAAATAAATAAAAATTAAAATAAACAAAAAAAAATAAAACTTATAAGGCAAACATTTAATACCCGTTACTTATTTACACAAATGGTAATAAACAAAAGCAATAAAAGCACAAAAAACAAGTCAGCAAGAAATAATGAAAATAAAATATTATAAAGTTTACGTAAAGTATTTACATTTAAGCTCATTTATTTGTTATAAATAAATAGTATTCCACTAAATTTTTTTGTAGACAAAAATATATAGACCAAAAACAATTTGATACGAATTAAGTATAAATATTATTTATTTTTTGCCAGTACTGAACTTAGTAATACGAGCGAACAAATAAATATTTAAATATGTATAACTTTCGATAAATTAGAATTACTGTTATTTTTAATTATACATTATTTTTTATTTTTTACATCTTTCATGTAAAAGTAATGGTATATTAACTTTGGTGCGAAATGTTAGTACTAGAAGAAGAAGAGACCCATCTAAATTTAAACCGAACGGACCAGAATGAAAAGTTGAGTTGATTTAGCCATGCCCGTCTGTCTGTCTGTTTGTACCCAAACTTATCACTAATTTTTTTTATACATTTGATCAGATTTTTCTGATTTGAGATTTTACATCTAAAAATGTGGAATTTGGTTGCGCATTGGTGCTGAAAAATATCAGAACCGATTTGTGCGGATATTAGATTTTGGACTACGTGAAAAATCATCGGAGGGCGTGGAACTTGGTTGTATACATTCGTAGCTACAAATAAATATTTAAATTTTAAACGATATACATACGACATAAACCTGAGAATGTTATGATCACAAAAGGTACAAAGACTTCGGTAAGGCCGCAGACGAGTCTTCTTTCCCGTTTTTATTTTTTTAATTAGTACTATTTAAATTGGAAATTTTAAAACTTTGACATAAAGTTTAGTTTGATTTTATTGATGTAAAATATATGGAAGTACATTTCATTAAGAAACAATAAATATTAAATTAAAAGCTTAAATAAGTTTATTACAGTAATTACCACCGAAAAAATTTAAATAAATTCATAAAATCCTAAGAAATTAATAATTAATACTTAATAGCACAATTTAAGCTCAAAATATGGTCTGTTTTTTTTTTTTTTTTTTATTTTTAAATTTTTACCTTCTCGCCATCCTACACATCGACATACATACATAAAAGCATTTGCCGCAAAAATGTCAAAATCAATATTTATATGCACAAAAGTTATCGAAATCGATGCGATTATGTATATATGTATGTTTACATTCATGTAGTTGCAATCGCACGTGCGCACCGCTATAACCACTTTCTCACTACATATAAACATAACCGCTTGCCGACCAACAAAAAAGGGAAAACAAGCCAGGCAAAAGAGAAGAAATGAAGAAGAAAATAGCTTGCGCAAATTATCAAGCGCCAACAAAGTAACAGCAACGCAGATAATTTCCTTCCACATTTTTATCACACTTTTTCCTTTGTTTTGGTCTACAACGCAAAATCGAATCAATCAAAGCAGCAACAAGCCACTGTCAAGAAAAAAATCGCATGCAAGGCATACAATAACAATACCACTCGGTGAAGTGGCGCAGAGCGGTGAAATATTTACTCGTTCATCATTTCTCTACGAGTAGTTATGGTATTGCCGTTGTCGTTGCCGTTGCTGGCGCTGTTGATGTTGCTGTTGCTGTCGCACAGGGGTGCAGTTTTTGCTACTAATAAATAAGTATTTCTGTAGCTGCGCACCAACTAGTTGTCGAGACATTTATGTTATGCGCTAAACAAGACGCAAGCAATAAAATTGAAAAAAAAAAAACAAATAAAAAAGGAAACCAAAAAAGTAATAATAATCAATAATAATAACACAAATATTTAGCACCGCATAGTTGCAGCGTTCGCTGCTCTATGTTGCACACTGCGCCCGTGGCAGCTGTCATGTATGCCTGCATATATGTATGTATATCACTGTGTTCTTGTTTTGCTCACTTGCACCGGCAATTGGCGCTTTTAGTGCTCACCTTGCACACGCTCCGCATGGAACGCATACACTTGACGGACTTTCTGGCACAACGCAGCAACAGCGAGCAGCAACAACAATATCATCAACCAGCCAGTTAGGCGCTCAGCTAACCAACAACGGCAAGCAGGCTGCAAGCCAACAGCAGTCGAAAAACTTGCTGAAAAAACAGCCGGCCAGCTGAAGTGCTCACACGAGTTCGTCTCTGAGCAGCAGCAGCAGCAGCAGCCGCAGTCTACTACCAAACAGCCAACATACATACATACGTACAACGAAACAAACTGGGCGCGCTGCCAAGCAGCTTTTGGGAGGCGCACTCACTCGTTAACTTGTTCACTCACTCACTAACTTAGCCCACCAAACACACTCAGACCCAACAGCTGCTCTGCGCTGAACTCTTGCTTTCAGTTTCATTCCAGACTTTGACGCGCGCACATTTTTCATTAAATGCACGGTTTTGCTACGCGCTCGCTTTGTGCACATTTGTATGTATATAAACTACGACGAGCACGAATTATAAGCCAATAAATACAAGAAACAAGCAAAGCAAGAAAAAAGTGTGAAATAAAATCAAATAAAAAATAATAATAAACAAACAAAAAATCGAACACCCGTTGTGGTAGCCAGTTCTGTCAGTAAATTTAGTCGAATATCGATTGGCATGATAATTTACGATTATTCGCTTCTTTAATTACATATATATGCATATATATGTATGTATGTATGTACACACAAATGCAATACATTTTTTGTATTCTTTTGGTGTGATTTTTATTGAGCTTGTGTTTTACAATACGGATTAATGGAAAAATTGGCGTTCAAATGAAAAATTAATTAAAGTGACCACAAAGCCAAAACAAGCGTGTACAATTTAATTAAACAGACATATGTACAGTGAACTGATTTTACGCATATAAACAAACTAATTTATTTATGCGCACCACTTTTATATGTATGGACGTATGTATACACATGTACAGCGTTGGAAAATTTATGTGAATTTCGTCTTAAAAAATCTTTTAAAATTCAAAGAATCGTTAAAAAATCGAGAAGTATTTCTTGGATTTGTCAATTCTTGTGTAAAAACGCCTTTGCAAAACTTCAACGAGTTTGTGTCTTAAGTCTTTTGTTGCAGTTATTCGTGTTAGTCGTTTTTTTCCGCCTCCTGCGCCAACGATTGAACAGAGGAGTGACATTTCACGTGCTCTCTCACAACAAAAAAGTTCAAATGTCATTCAAATAATAAATTATATAAATATAAATATACATATATATATCTATATATACTTGTATATTAATACGTATAAAAGGAAAATTTTAAAAAAAATACAAAGCAAAATATTTACATAGTTACGACAAAGCGGGAAGGAACAGCAAAAACAACTATTATCAACAACAGCAAAATAAAATCAACAAATATTAATAAATAGTAAACAATCAAAGTGTCATTAAGTGTCAACCAGTCACCCAATCAAATACGCTGATAGGCAGCAAATACTAAAAGCTAACGGTATGCACTAATAAAATTGCGAAAAAATATGAAAAAAACGTATATTAATGAAACGGCATTAACTACAACAAAGTTTTAATAGCTGTAAATAAGTGAAAATTGTTAGTTGTAAAACGAGATTTTACATATTAATATTGCTTTATATATATATATATATAATATTGTACATACGATTTGTAACAGATGCAAAATAAAAACTTTGTTTATTTAATTTTTTTTTAACTTCTTAAATATACAACAAAGGCAATAATAATAACAATAATAATAAAACCGAACTATAAAATATAAAAAAGATATTACATTAATCATTTTAATTCGCAATAAGCAGCTGTAAAAAGTTAATAGCCGTTAGAACAATAAACGTAATTAGGTGAATAGCTGTGTACGTATGTGCCAGCTAAATATAAAATTATTATTTGCATGTATATACATACATATGTGGCATATGGTAAACAAAGGCTTACCGAAACATGTGC